TTTTTTTTTTTTTTTTTTTTTTTTTGGCCGTGCTGCGCGACTTGTGGGACCTTAGTTCCCCGACCAGGCATCAGAGCCAGGCCCTGGGCAGTGAAAGTGTGGAGCCCTAACCACTGCACTGCCAGGGAATTCCCTGCAGATAGGGTTGATTCATCAGCATTGACCTCTGGAAGCCCGCTCTATCAGAAACTTCTGTGTGTGTGATGAGAGGAATCAGTCTGCCAGGCAAGGTGTGGTAGAAGTGACAATATATAGCTACTTTGGAGCTGAAAAGCCAAAGGGTCACAGTACAGCATGGTTGTCACCTTGTAGTTGAGAACAGTTAAACCCGTTGGAGGCTGAACCCATTTCACTGTAAGCACACACATCACATCCAGGTCCAGGTCAGCACACTGTAATCAAGCAGAGGGTTGTTTTAAAGCTCAAGCCCAGAGCCATACAACCTGCAAGCTCAGAAATGCTAAGACAAGCTGAGAGCTGTACTGAATAGAGATTCACTGTTGACCAAGTGCAGGGACATTGGAATTCACATCTATATGGTAGCTGAGTCCAGTTACATTGTAGCCAAGTACCAGTATCCATTACCTGTAGTATAAAAACAGAGTTTGATGGTAGCCAAGAGCTGGCTCCTCCTTTTTTTGCATTATAGACAAGCTTAGTTACACTATAACCAAGGAGGTGGTTATATTGTAGCTGGCCACACAATACTGTGGGTGTCCAAACTCAGAGTTCCATTGTAGCCAGGCATGGTTTTCTATATACAGTTGAAGGCTATGTTGTTGCTGAGTCTAGTTACATGGTAGCCATGGCCAGAGAACAACTGTAGCCAAGCTCAGTTACACTGTGGTCAATGAACTGCCCTGTGGCTAGAGACAGTCATGCTATTGTCAAAACACACAGTTAGGGCTTCCCTGGTGGCGCAGTGGTTGAGAGTCCGCCTGCCGATGTGGGGGACACGAGTTCGTGCCCCGGTCCGGGAGGATCCCACATGCCCCAGAGCGGCTGGGCCCGTGAGCCATGGATGCTGAGCATGGGCATCCGGAGCCTGTGCTCCACAACGGGAGAGGCCACAACGGTGAGAGGCCCGCGTACCGCAAAAAAACAAAAAAACAAAAACAGAAAAACAAAAAAAACCCCAGACAGTTATATTGTATCCAAGTATAATTTTGTTGTAGTCACTGAGTTCGGTTAATATCGTGTCTCCCTGTGGCTGGAAACAGTCATGCTATTGTGAAAACACAGTTGTATTGTATCCAAGTACAATTTCATTTTAGTGGCTGAGCTCAGTTACACTGTAGCCAAGTGCAGCTTTTCTTGTGGCCCAAGCCCAGGATTTGGCTTGAGCAGCATCTGGGCTTGCACTGAGCAGTCTTGCTGTAGCCAAGCACAGACTCCCCTTGTTGCCAGGCACAGAGTTGCATTGTAGCCAGCGCAATGGGAAACATTCCTTTGCCTTTAGAATGCAGCCGGGGCCTGGAATGCTCATCCTCTTTCTCCTGCCAGAAGGAACTGTGGACACAGTGTCCCCGGGAGATGGGAATCAATTACTTGGAAATTTGGCCTTCCCTGCACTCCCCCACACAGATGACCTTGGGAGGCTGCCAGCGGGAAGGGGCGGGGGAGAGGCAGCCTCTTGCACACCATACTAGCAGACTTTGGGGAAAGATAATTTCCTCTGGGGCTGACCCTCACCCCACTTCCTCCAGTCTGACATCTGCTTGGGACTCTCCTGGCTGTTTCAGGGCAGGGGACTGAGTCTGGGGCCCGAGTCTGGGGCCCGAGTCTGGGGCCCGAGTCTGGGGCCCTTCTTAAGTGGGGGGAGGGAGGACCTGAGAGCTTTTATATTTTTCAGGGTACCTCTGGCAACCGGGGCCTCCAGGGGGAGAAAGGAGAGAAGGTGAGAAGGGAGGGAATTCCTTGAGGGGGGAGCCCTAATAATGGGGCTCTGGCTGTGTCCCTTCCCTGAAGCCCTGACATCTGATCTCTGTACTATCTCCCACCCAGGGAGAGGTTGGCTTCCCAGGTTTCAAGGGTGACGTGGGGCTCAAAGGCGATTGGGTAAGATGACCTCCAGAGGAGGGGTCTGGTGGATCTGGGGGACTTGGGAGAGAGAGGGAGGGGGTGAACTGGGGCAAAGACAGGAGTGACAAAGGGACTGATGTCAGGGCTTCTCCTTTTCTATTCCAGGGGCAACCCGGACCCCCAGGTCCTCGGGGAGAGGATGGTCCTGAAGGGCTGAAGGGGCAGGTGGGGCTTGCTGGTGAGGAGGGGCCCCCAGGCTCAGCTGGGGAGAAGGTGAGTGGACCTGGTCACCCCCTCCAGTCTATACCCCAGCTTCTAGCCTGCAGGCAAGGTGTTCCCTGGCCCTTTGCCTTCTGTCCTCTGCTCTTTTGTCTCCAGCTTCAGGAGGCTCTCGGCTCCTTCAATTCCCCAGCTCAGCATTCCAGAGCAATTCCATGCACTTTATCTTATTTTTATCCCCACAACCACCACAGGCAACAGACATTTTTACCCCCATTTTACAGACAAGGAAACTGAGATTTGGAATGGTTGAATGAGTTGCCCAAGGACATGCCCCTAGCAGGCAGGGGCCAGGACCTGAACCCATGTTTCCCTGAATCCCCCGCTCCTACCCCTGCAACCATGCCCCAGCCTTCCTGCCCCTCCCCCACTTACCTCCAAGTTGCAGGCTCTGACCTTTGTCCCGTAATCTCTCTGCAGGGCAAGCTTGGGGTGCCGGGTCTCCCAGGTTACCCAGGACGTCCAGGCCCTAAGGTCAGAAGCTAGCAGGAGGGTGGTGGGCAAGGGCAGGGTTCAGAGACTGATTAACATCTGGGGGATCCAGGCTGTGGTCTGAGGGTGTGAGCTGTCCACCCCATGGGGTATTGAAAGTGTAAGGTGTGGGCTTTGGCATCAGACAAACTTAGGCTCAAATACCCAGCCTTATCTGCTAAGTGACCTGGAGTAAGTCACACCTTACCTGCTAAATGATCTGGAACAAGTCTGTTGAACCCATTTTCTCAGTTACCAGTAGTATCTACCTCATCAGTTTGGTTATGATAAAACTGATGATTTTGGTGATAATAAAACTGTAGGATCCTTCTTATGTGGTATGATTGAGGTTGGTTCAAACAAGTCAGTAAGGGGGAGAATCATAAAAAATGCATATCTTACATATCTTGAATTAATTATAACTTAGAATGTACTTATGTAAAACTGTACATTTGGCTGCCAATGTTTTGATGAGTGAGGCTATTAGTAAGACATGTCTCTCTGCCTAAACCACAGCCATATTACATGACTGGTGATTTATAGTTTTTTGTTACATAAAGTGAAGCAGAAAAGCAAAGACACTTGGGAAGAAATCTGAGTACAGAATCCTTCTTGAGTTCCACACTTTTGGTATCTCGATCTAGCAGTCATCTTGCCCATGCCTAATTTGACAGTGTTTTTTTCTTAGTGACTTCCCTTTACATTGAGTCTTTCCCATTTAACCTAGATTCTACAGATATCTTTCTTTTCCCTTTCTACATTTCATCAGTTTTTGTAAGGTTTCATTAAGTCACATGACCCCAGTAGCAAGGGCAACTGACATAAATAGGTTTGGGATTAACTCAAGGTATCAAAACTAAGAGCAGAACTCAGTCTGTTGACACAGAAATTCATGGGAGTTAGAACGAAGCCTCCTAGCCAAGACTGATCAGTGCGTCTTGGGCAACAAGCAATGAATACTTTACAGGAGGCCTGATATGTTGGCTTCGTTGAGGTCAGTGTCTTATTCAGCTTGGGTTGCTAGAATAAAAATACCTTAGACTGGGTGATTTAAACACAGAAATTTGTTCTGGAGGCCAGAAGTCTGAGATCAGAGTGCCAGCACGGTTGGATTCTGGTGAGGGCTTTTCTCCTGGTTTGTAGATGAACATTTTCTGTCTTTGTCCTCACATAGGGGAGAGGGAGAAGGAGAGGGAGAAGGAGAGAGAGAGAGAGAGAGAGAGAGAGAAATCTAGTCTCCTCTTCTTCTTATAAAGACACTAATCCCATTCACGAGGGCCCCACTCTCATGACCTACTTACTTCCCAAAGGCCCAACCTCCAAATATCACACTAGGGACTGAGGCTTCAGCATATGAATTTTGGGAGGACACAAACATTCAGTCCATAGCACTTACTAATAATCAGCATGAATAACAAAGACAGCTAATATTTCTTGAGCACATACTATGTGCCAAGTACCTTTAAAAAAAAAAACAAACCCACTTTCTATATATATCCCATTTAATCCTAACGAAAACCTTGTAAAGGAGGTATTGTTGGTATCCCCAGGCTACAAAGGAGACTGATGCTCAGAGGGGTCAATCCATTTGTCCAGGGCCACACAGCCAATTTAGTGATGGATCTAGGATTCAAAACACAGTGAGGGGTGAGAGGGGATATCAGAGCATATGATGTTTTCCCTCAGGTCAAGGGACGATGGGCAGGAAAGCAAGTACTGGAGGCAGTTAATTAACAAGTATTGAGTAAGCCACCACCATGTGCCAGGCAGTAGGGAATAAGACCAGAGCATTATGTCCTAGTCATTGAATAAGTAAACAGATGAGCAAGGTCATTTCAATACAAATATTATAGGGGAAACAAAATAGGACGTGATAAACAGAGCATGACTTAAGGATGTGGTGGTCAGGATGATGGCGGAAGGCTTCTCTAAGGAGGTGATGTCTGAATGAGATTTAAATGATGAGGAGTAGCTGGCTTTGTGGGGATCTGAGAGAAGAGAATTTTAGGCAAAGGCAGCCAGTGCAAAGGTCCTGAGGCAGGAATGTACTGGTATCTGAGTAGCATTAAAGAGGCCAGTGTGGCTGGAATGCAGTGAGCAAGGAAGGGGCTGCTCATTGGGGCTGGAGGGGCCAAAGAACTTTCTGGAATCATTGGCCTGGAAATGCCTGAAAAAGATGGGGTGGCTGAATAGGGTGAGGGGCTAACGTCACCCACTCCTCACACCCATGTCTTTTCTCTCATTCTCTTTACTCAGGGATCTATTGGTTTTCCCGGGCCCCTGGCACCGTTAGGAGAAAAAGGGAAGAGGGTGAGTCACACTCCAGGGGTCAGTGGAGAGGGAAGGGCTGGCACGAGAGAAAGACAGTGTATGGCTGTGCGTGATAGCACGTGGGGCCCTAGGTGGCTGTGTCTATGCCTGGAAGCACTTGTGTGCACACATATTGCCATGTGCAATGCAGGGCACATGTAGGTGATCCCACCTGGTATTACAGCACATGTGCCTGCGTGTCTGTGTATGCATGTGGATCCCATGTGCCTTTCAGTGCAGATTAGATGGGGTCTGGGTGCTGCAGCCTAGGGGCCTGTGACTGGGTGAACGAGGGCACCAGCTGCACGTACATTGCGTGACTATGGGCATACATGTGTGAGGGGGTATGTCGAAGTGTGTGAAAGAATAGGGAGATACACATATGTGTGTGTTTCTGCACACCTGGGGGATTGTGTATACATGCATGCGTTGTTTCGCTATGTGTGCACTGTAGCTGTGCAAATGGACATTGTGTATATGCACATGAGGGTTTGTATACTGCTGTGTTTATCAGGACCGTGTCCTCACATGAATCCATGCACATACGTGTTTACACTGGATAGATACATGTGCAAGGGACATATTACATGACAGGCTCCGAGTGTCATCTCGAAGCTGCGGTCACCCCTTGCATGCTGCGATGGCATGCAGTCATGTGTGCATACCATGCAGCTGTGATAAATAGGTGTCTGTGTGAGCAAATGTGCTTCTCTGTGTGGACCTGTAGGTGTAATCATAATATAATTGGGTGCCTATGATCTTTGCGTAGTTGCATGTGTAAACTGTACTTATGCGTGCGTGTGAGTGAAAGGCTTGCAAATGAATGTAGGGCAGACATCTTTCCAGGTCTCTGACTGGGTGCATTTGTGTGTTTGTGTCCTGTATTTGCACCATCACCCTCTTCTGCTTCCCCCTCATCTAATTTACATTCCAGGGGAAGGCTGGGCAGCCAGGCCTGGAAGGAGAGCGGGGACCACCAGTAAGAAAATGGGGGCAGGGCTGGAAGGAGGGGCTGCGAGAGGAGATGTGGGTGGGAAGAGGGTTTGGATTACTTCAGGTAGTCATGGTGGGGGGACCCAGAGGACTCATCCTCATCTCCTAGGCTCCCCCACCCTCTCACTTCCAATGTTTGCTTCTTTTCTATTCAGGGCTCCCGTGGAGAGAGGGGCCAACCAGGTGCCACAGGGCAACCAGGCCCCAAGGTATGGGGTGGGTGGGCGGTCAGGCCCCCCAAGCAGGCCCTCTGCCCCAGGCTCACCAAGTCCCACCCAATACCTCCTCGTTGTTTGTTCTGCAGCCTGAGTCTCATTCATTCTCTCCTAGGGTGATGTGGGCCAGGACGGAGCCCCTGGGTTCCCTGGAGAAAAGGTGAGTGAGTGAGTGAGTGTGTGTGTGTGTGTGTGTGTGTGTGTGTGATTCTGGGTAGGAGACAAGCCCAGAAGGTGGGGAGACATTATAGTGCAGAATGGCGAAAAAGCACAGCCTCTGAAATCAGAGAGCTGTGAGTTCAAGTCTTAGCTCTGCCATTCACCTGCGGTGTGACCTTGGGTGAGTCACTTAACGTCTCTGTGCCTCAGTTTCCAACTCTATCAAATGGGAATAACCACAGTCCCCATCCCAAAGGGCTGCGGTGGTGAATGAAATGACTTCCTGTGCATAGAATGCTTGACCCCATGCCTGGCCTGCAGGAAGCACCCAACATACTGTTGTCATTATGTGGGACTCAGGGGCAGGCGGGAAGGATGAGTGAATGATTTCTGCTTCCATTTCAGGGCCTCCCAGGTCTGCAAGGCCCTCCTGGGTTCTCTGGACCAAGGGGTCCCCCTGTAAGTGAGCTCACCCTGCTGGGGGGGGAAGGGGGAACCAGGCAGTGGGGGGACTCCATGTTTGTGCCTCAACTCTCTCCCACCTTGTCCCTCAGGGCCCCCAAGGGAAAGACGGGCCACCTGGGCACCCTGGACCTAGAGGAGAATTGGTGAGAAACCCTTTGACCTCCGACCCATGACCCCATTAGGCTTTCCATTTCTTCCCCTCCATGACACCTCCTTTTGTTTGTTTGTTTTTGTTTTTTTTCATGACACCTCCTTTTAATGTTTCTCCTCAGGGCTTCCAAGGTCAGACAGGCCCACCTGGACCAGCTGGTGTCGTGGGTCCTCAGGTCAGAGTGGACCCCACAGGTCTCCCTCGTTTTGCACCAGTTCGGGGGTATTTGGGGGGGCGGGAGGTGATCTCAGGCAGACCCCCACCCCAGGCCACCTCCATTCAAGATGAGCCTTCTTCCTCTCCAGGGAAAGACGGGAGAAGCAGGGCCTCTGGGTGAGAGGGGGCCCCCAGGCCCCCCTGGATCTCCTGGTGAACAAGGTCTTCCGGGCCTGGAAGGCAGAGAGGGGGCCAAGGTGAGACCCTGCCGCGCGGGAGATCTCATCAAGTGACCCCAAAGGTCCCTCAACGTCCCCACGGCACCTCCAGGCTCAGGATCAACCCCGTGGGGCAGGGGCCCAGACTCACAGATTGAGGGGAGACGCCCTCATTCTTCTCTGGAGTCTGACCTCCCTCTTCTGCACTCCTCCAGGGGGACCTGGGACCACTGGGACCCTTTGGGAAGGAAGGGCCACCTGGACGCAGGGGCTTCCCTGGTCCCCAAGGAGCCCCCGGGGACCCAGTGAGTATCGTTTGGAGCCCCTCCTGAATGTGCCTGGCTGGGCTGTGAAGCAGAGGAGGAAAGGGGGGCCCAGGGGAGGGGCAAAAGTGATAGTAACATAATGGCTGCAGGAGGGACAGATCCCTGAACCTCAGTGGCCGGGAAGCGGGTGGGGAACTCTGAGCCCCCCAGAGTGAGGACAGGACCCGGGGGCACCTCTGGGAGTCTCTCAGCTGTGAATCATCTCCTCCTCAGGGACCTACTGGTTTGAAGGGTGACAAGGGCCCCCCCGGCCCCGTCGGGGCTAACGTAAGTGTAAACCTGTCTGCTGTGTGGCGGGCAGGGTGCAGGGGTCTCAGGGTTTCTGGGAAGCTGGGTATTTTCCTCATCAAGTCTGCTATTTGGGGAGCCAAACAGGTCGGGGTCACGGCCAACTCTGCCGCTCCCTGGCTGGGCAGTCGTGTCACTGCGCAAGCCTCAGTTTCCTTGTCTGTAAAATAGTCCCATCTCCTAGATGATTGTAAATCTCAACGAGATGATCCATTGGGCACATACTTACCTGCGTGTCAGACATCAGCGTTTAAAAACCTTTCTCCTGGAGTTTACTACGATCTAGCCAGGGAGATAAGGGATCAGCCGCGATGAATGCCACAAGGCAAAATAGCTAGCGCAGAGTAAGGGGCAGAAGGGGAGAGCCGTTGAAACAGGCAGGCCAGGGAAGGCCTCCTGAGAAGGTGACATTTGAGCTGAGACCTGAAGGCGGTGAGGGAGGAGCCATGTGGGTGTCTCGGGGGAAGAGTGTGCCAGGCAGAGGGAACGGCATGTGCAAAGTCCTGAGGCTGGAGGAAGCAGTGAGCAGGGCTGTGTGGCTGGAGGGGAGTGAGCCTAGGGTGAGTGGGAGGGGATGAGAGCATAGTGGTGCAGGACCTTGTAGCCTGCCAGGAAAACCTTTTTTTCAACAAGTGGGGTGGGAGCCCCAGAGGGATGTGGGCAGGGAGGGGAGGCACATGCGCTGACTCAGGTGTTCACAGTGCCCTCTGGCTGCTGCCTGGGGGAATAGATTGGATGTGCTGGTAACCACCTAACTCAGGGCCTGACTGCTTGAAAACCCTCCAATAAATGAGAATTACCACTACTGCTATTATCCCTGACCCTTCACCCCTGTTTTCAGGGCTCCCCTGGGGAGCGCGGCCCTGTAGGCCCAGCAGGGGGCATTGGGCTTCCTGGCCAAAGTGGAGGCCAAGGCCCTGTTGGCCCTGCAGGCGAGAAGGGGTCCCCGGTAAGTGCCTGCCCCCCATCCCCCAGGCATCCCCCAGACCCAGCCCTCTACATATCAGGAGCTCATTTCTGCCCTGGCCCTGACATACTCCTTTCCACTCCGCCCATCAGGGTGAACGCGGCCCCCCTGGTCCCACTGGCAAAGATGGGATCCCAGGGCCCCTGGGGCTTCCTGGATCCCCTGGAGCTGTGGGGCCTTCTGGCGAGGAAGGGGACAAGGTGAGAGTGTTCATGGAAGGGGAGGGGCTGGGGGGAGGATGGGGGTAGAGGGAGGCATGATCCTCCCTCATCCTCTTTCCTCTGCAGGGTGAAGTGGGAGCCCCGGGTCACAAGGGCAGCAAAGGCGACAAGGGGGATGCGGTGAGTGGGGGGCCCCAGTGAGGGGGATGGTCCTTGGGGAGGGGAGAGGGATGTGGAGGATGGCTGGGGGGAGGCCACGGAGCTTCCTGCCTTCATGAGACCCAACTTGACACCTGCAAGTAACAGAAGCCACTCAAGCTACCTGGAATAAAGGGGCTAACTGCACCCCCAGCTTCCCTCCGGAAATTCGGCCGCAGCGCCCAGCATCAGGGAGCCAGCTCAGTCCCTGGGACTTTTGGGCAAACGTCCTGATGGGCCAAACTTAGGATTACATACTCTGTCTGGTCCCATGAGTTGGTAGCTAGGAAGACAGGGTTGGGGGAGGGAAATGCAGCTTCTTGGTGGAGGGAGTGGACAGGGGTGCAGTGATTGACATCTCTAGTGTTTCCACCCCCCCCCAATCTTGAACCTGAGGGGTTTGGGGTTTTTTTTTGCGGTACGCGGGCCTCTCACTGTTGCGGCCTCTCCCGTTGCGGAGCACAGGCTCCAGACGCGCGGGCCCAGCCGCTCCGTGGCACGTGGGATCCTCCCAGACCGGGGCTCGAACCCGTGTCCCCTGCATCGGCAGGCGGACTCTCAACCACTGCGCCACCAGGGAAGCCCCTGAAGGGTTTTTTACTCTGTTCCCTTCTCCAGGGCCCACCTGGACCAACAGGGATACGGGGTCTTGTGGGACACCCAGGCTCCCCGGTGAGTGATCCCAGTTTTGTGGCCATCCCCTGGATCCCCAGTGGGAAGGGACAGTGTTCTCCATGGTGACTCAGGCCCAAACTCAGCCCTGACACTGACCTACTCCTCCATGCCAACACTCAATATGAGCTCACCCCAGAATCTGACTCAGTCCTGACCTCAACCCCTGAACCCCATCACAGCCCTAATCTCAACACTGCTTGTGACCTTAACCTCAATCCCGACTCAGACCTGACCTTCACATCCAACATTAGCCGAACCTGACCCAGTCTTACCCTTAACCCCAGTCCTGACCCACCCTCCAATGCAGACCCCAAACCTGGGCTCAAACTCTGATTCTACCTTGGCCCTAACCTCAAACCCTACCGTACATCTCAACCCCATCTGGACCTTCCCCTCACCACCTTAACTGACCTCAGCTTGACCCTGAGTCACCACCCAATGCAAAGATTTTAGAAAAACTTTGACTCAACCTTTGACTTCATTGCTAATCTCTGACGCTTAACCTGCATCCCCAACTCCAAACCCAGTCCTGACCCTCTCCAAACTGAATCCCAACCCTGAGCCTCAATCCTGTCTTTGACCTTGAGCCTCTCTCCAACCCCTGACACAGACCCTAACTGTGCTTTGCCCTGTCCTCCCCCCAGGGGGCAGATGGGGCTCAGGGACACCAGGGACCTCCAGGCCTCTTTGGGCAGAAAGGAGATGATGGAGTGAGAGGCTTCATGGGGGTGATTGGCCCCCCTGGCCTGCAGGTAGGTGTCTGAGTTTGGGGGTACAGCCTCTGGTCCTTCCCACTTTGTGCCCCAATTTTGCTTCTTTGTTCCACAGGGGATGCCAGGCCCTCCTGGAGAAAAGGGGGAAGTTGGAGATGTAGGGTCCATGGTATGGGCAATGGGGGAAAACGGGGTGGTGGTGGTAGGGCAGGGGTGGCCATTAAACCAATTTGGGGGGGTCACAGGTCACATTGTCACTTTAAGGATCATGTGGTTCACCAGCATCAAGGGTGGTGTTTGTGATTAGTGGAGTTTTGAAAGACCGTGGGGTCACTGGATGCTCTTCTGACTGTCCCACAGGGTCCCCATGGAGCTCCAGGCCCTCGGGGTCCCCAGGGACCCAGCAGATCAGAGGTGAGGACTCTGGGGGAGGGCAGGATGCCTCAGAGGTGAGGACATAGCTTTCCCAAGAAGGGGCTGCTGGGATCGCACAGTCCCAGCTGTACCCCTTGCTGTCTCTCCAGGGTCCTCCAGGGCTGCCTGGGGGAGTTGGTCAGCCTGGAGCAGTGGGTGAGAAGGTGAGAGAGAGAGAGAACAGGAGTCTGCCTGGGGTGGGGAGGCACAACCAGTCCTGCCTGGGGGTGGCTGCCAGGATGGGAACTCTCCTGACCTTCACTTTGCCTCCTGCAGGGTGAGCCAGGGGAGCCTGGAGACCCGGGACCCCCAGGAATCCCAGGCATCCCTGTGAGTGATTTTGTCCAGTGTCCCTGTACCCATCTCAGGGAATCCCTGACCCCTGGGCATCTAGGGCCACCATGACCTCTGCAGCCCTAGGTCACCCACTGACCCAGGACCTACAGGCATCCCCCGTTATCTTGATGACAGAGCCCTGAAAGGTATCAGGGTTGCTACACAAAGTTCTCTAGGTTGTATACCGCACAAGGGTGTAGGGCTGAGAAGGCAGGTGGGGCTCAGATCTAAACCACAAGCCCTGGCTTGGGGATGAGTTGCCCAGAGGGGATCCCTTTTCTGATTCACTCCAGGGTGGCACATGGGCTAGCCCAAATTTGCCCATGACCTCTGGGCAACTGGACCATCCTGATCCCTGACTCCTATAAATCCTAGATTCCTCTGACCTCTGACCCTTGGGCAGCCTAGGCTACTCTGACCCCTAACCCCAGGAAAGCCCCAGGCCACCCAGATTTCTGAGTCCAGGTATGCTAACCCTTGACCTCTGGAGAGTCCAGGCGCCTCTGAACTCTGTTTCTGCAAAGGGGCCCAAGGGAGAAATTGGTGAAAAGGGGGATGCAGGCCCATCTGGGGCAGCTGGACCCCCGGGCAAGAAAGGCCCCCCCGGAGAGGATGGAGCAAAAGGGAACGTGGTGAGTCCTGGGGGACATGGAGGGAGAGACTTGGGGAGGAGCACATGTGTCACCTTGAACCTGCTCCCCAACTTCCAGCCGGGGGGTTCCCATCCTCCAGTATGCTGATTCCACAAGCAACCCGGAACATGGCTGAGTAAATGAATGATTGAATGAAAGAATGAATCAATATAAAAATGGAGTGGTTATATGTCATTGCAATAGGGGAAACTTGATTCCACACTGAGTTGTTCTAACAATGCTGGAAAGGTCAAGGTTGAGACTCATGCTGGGTCAGAGTTGGCTGATGAAGGATTTGCCATCAGGGCAGAGGTGGAGCCCCTCCCACCATGGCGATGGGGCTCGGGGTTGGGATGGAGGACAGCAAGGAGCTTCGGAGTCTGAGGGACCTTGATTTGAATCTCACCACCCCACCACTTGCCGAGTCCTTTCTCTGAGGTCAGTTCTATCTGTGAGGCCCAAGCCTAGAGAATGCAGTGAGATGATGCATGGAACATACTTAGCTCACATTAAGCACGAGAATGTTCCTGCTACCAGGGCTGGGATTTTGTGTTTTGTTCACCAGTGTATCCCAGCAACCGGAACTGTGCCTGGGCACAGTTAAATGAATGAATGAATGAATGCTCCATCATTCAGAGATATAATTATCCATCATTCTGTGTTCCAGGGCCCCACAGGGCTCCCAGGAGACCTAGGCCCCCCCGGAGACCCTGGGGTTTTGGTGAGTGTGACCCCTCCTTACTCGAAAGCCCAGCATATTCCCTATTCTGTTCCCATCTCCACAACGCCCCCACAGACCTGGGCAAGGTCGATGGAGAAAATAACCTTCATTTTCCTCCAAACCTCACCCCTAAATTCTCAGGTACCCCCATGACCCCTTCTGACTTTGTTCCTCCCACCACAGGGTCAAGACGGCCCCCCAGGGGAGAAGGGAGACCCTGGAGATGTAGGGGGACTGGTGAGTAGGGGAACGGAGGGCGTGGTGCATGAAGAGGGGGGTCAGGGCTGGAGGGTGGGTGAATTGGGGGGTCAGGAGAGTGGGTTAATGAGGTACCCAGGGCCCTTGTAGATGCACGTGCTTTGCCTCTCTGGGTCCTCCCATGAATGTGAGTAGCTTGAGGGTAGAGGCGGGGGCTGGCTGGTGCTGGGTGATATGTGGGGAAGGCTGTCTTCGCATCACAGGCATCCTGATGGGGACATATGTATACGTATAACTGATTCACTTTGTTATAAAGCAGAAACTAACACACCATTGTAAAGCAATTCTACTCCAATAAAGATGTTTTAAAAAAAAAAAAAAAGGCATCCTGAAACTGTCATCCTCAACTACCCTTCTGATTATAATCTCCAGGGTCCACCTGGTGCTTCTGGGGAACCCGGTCCCTCTGGGCCCCCTGGCAAAAGGGTGAGTGATGAGTACGCCACCACCACCTCCTGGCTTCCCTGGCTCCAACTTCGTTCCATTCACTCTCACAGCCCCCCGCTCCCCCCTACAAACCCCCCACTCATCCCCAGAGCACCCACTCACCTCACAGCCCCCCACTCACACTTTCTCCCCTAAGGGTCCTTCTGGTCGCACGGGTCGAGAAGGCAGAGAAGGGGAGAAAGGTACCAAGGTGAGTGCCCCCTGCCAAGGGGTGGGGGGGCCTTATCCTGACCCGTCAGCCAACAGTTGGGCCATCAGAATGGGGAGAGGCCTGGGACACCACAGGTGCTCCAGTTCTGCCCCCCCGCCCACTGGTTCTTGGCTGGCGGGTCGGGAGGCAGCCACCCCCTGACTCTCTCTGCCCCCTCCCTTGCCCCTGTCCTTTTCAGGGGGAACCAGGTCCTGATGGGCCCCCAGGGAGGACAGGCCCAGTGGGGACTCGAGGGCCCCCTGGGCATGTCGGGCCTGAGGGTCTTCGAGGGATCCCCGGCCCTGTGGTGAGTGGGGTGGGAACAGGGACAGGGCGGGGGGTGGGGATCCTGCTTTCCTTATGTGCTCCCATCTTATAATTTCTCACCATAGTTAGAAGGAGCTGACCCTGGTGGGCAGTGGGACATCCACATTGTGTTCTGGCAGAGTTCAGCCCCCCATGTTCTGCTTTGCCCTAGGGTGAACCAGGCCTGCTGGGACCTCCTGGACAGTTGGGTCCTCCTGGCCCCCTGGTAAGAGGCTTCTTTGTCCCTAAGGTCCCAGCCCTGGGAACCACACTGGGCATCCAGTGAGCATCTAGTGACCATGGATGCTGACGCTGCAGACTGACCACTCATTGACTATCCATCTGATGGTCAACCCTGACCATCTATACTAACCATCTCTTCTGATCACTCCTCTCAATGGTCTACACTGACCATCCACACTGACCCTTCGTCTTGATGGTCTACACTGACTATCCACACTGACCCTCTATCTTGATGGTCTACATTGACCAAACAGACCACCTATCTTAATAGCCTACACTGACCATCAACACTGATGTTGACCACTGACCATCCAAGTTGGCCATCCTCCAACAAACCCCTTCATTCATCTCTCATCATCCCTCCTCTTTCTTGACCATCATCCGCATGACCACTTCCCTGGTAATTCCATTTGAAACCTGGGTAATTTCCCATTTGACCATCCCCCAATCACTCACATGGACCTTGAGGCTTCCTGTTTGAGACTCACCAGCTGACCCTAACTCTCCTTCCAGGGGCCCTCTGGCCTCCCAGGGCTGAAGGGAGATGCTGGCCTCAAGGGGGAAAAGGTAAGGATGCCTCCTTCCATTATTCTCCCCCCCCACTTAACCCCCCCTCCTCCACCCTTACCTCCCTCTGTAGCCAGAGGGCTAGGAGATTGGAGTCTCTACTACTCCAAGGCTCTAGGAGAAAAATCTCCCAATCCCCCGTCCACACTTCTATCCCCACGTGTGCCTCTTTTATCCTCCAGGGCCACATCGGATTAATTGGTCTCATTGGCCCCCCTGGGGAGGCTGGTGAGAAAGGGGATCAGGGTTTGCCAGGAGTGCAAGGCCCCCCTGGCCTCCAGGGAGAACCTGTGAGTGTGTGTCCTGCCTCGAGTGGGAAGATTGTGTTCAGAGGGTGGTGGGAAGGCAGAAGTGGGGCTTGTTTGGAGACTGTGGGTATGGGGATTTGTGGGAAGCCTGGGTCTAGAATGATAGGGGTTGTGTCTGGAGGAAATGGGGGACTCTCTCTGGGGACTTGAAGGTTGAAGTCTGCATCTGGGGTTTGGGGTCTTCTTTGGAGGGAACTGGAAGTCTGTCTGGGGGATGTGTCTGGACCATAGGGATGCACCCTGTCAATGATGACTCTGATGTCCTTTCTCCAGGGTTCCCCTGGTCCCGTCGGCTCTCTGGGCCACCCTGGACCCGGAGGTGTGGTGGTGAGTATGAGGGATTTGTGGGGTGGGGTCACCTTGCTGGGCCAGCCAGGACTCTGGCTCTCCCTGTCTCTACCCCACAGGGTCCTCCAGGACAGAAAGGCTCAAAGGGGTCCCTGGTGAGTACTCACTGTTCCCTTGGGCTCCCACATCCCAGCTTCCCAGCCCCCTTCACTGCGCCAGAACCCTCAGGGCCTTTGCATTCATTCATTTATTTATTCAGTCAGTCAGGCATTCAACACCTACCATTGTATTTTATCAAATCTAAGATGCCGTCCATCGTAAGATGAGCCATTATTTTATAAACTGCTATGGAAGAAAACAGTTCTACCAAGTAAACTATGACTTGTCACAGATGTTAAGATGATGATTTCAGAGATGTTCACATATAGAAAGAAAATGTGCAGTTTATGCTTGGTGCTGAAAATTGCACGTCCTTACCCCCAGTGCTGTGTGTGTGTGTGTGTGTGTGTGTGTGTGTGTGTGTGTGTTGGCAGGCAGCGGTCTCCATAGGCAGAGTTCACACCCAAATGACTTCTCCCTACAGGGATCCCAAGGTCCCCGCGGAGACACCGGACCCCCAGGACCCCCCGGCCCCCAGGTGAGTTACCCAGGGACTATGTTGGAGTGTGTCCCCCTTGGGTCCCTCAGTGCCCAGAACTGGGCAGAGCACCAGGTGTTCAGGGGGTGCAGGTGGGGTGGGAAGTGGCCCCAAAAGCTGAAGGAGGATCTGGGCTGTGTGTAGGGTGCTGGGGGGGACATCCACGGGGGCTCTGACCGTATCTCGTATGTCCATCTCTCCTGGCCTTTCTCTGTCTCTGTCTCAAACACTTGTTTCACTATTTTCTCTTTGTGTCTCTCTTCCGGGGGCACCCTCTCTCTCTGTCTGTCTGTCTCTCTCTCCTTTGCCTGACTTTGTGGTTCTGACTCTTTATCCTCTCTCCACTTCGGCCTCTCTCCATCTCTGAGCCCTTCTGTCTCTCTCCTTCCCGTGTCTCTGTTTCTGACTGTCTATCTGCCCTTGTCCCTGTCTCTGTCTCGCCCTCCCCTTTCTCCTCTCCCCGCACCCCTGTGTCTTTCTGCCCCCCACGCCTTTCATTTCTGCCCCTCTCTCTCCCTGTCTCTTCCTCCTGCGTCTCTGACCTCTCCGCCATCCCCACCTCCGTCCAGGGTCCACCTGCAGAGCTGCACGGGCTGCGCCGGCACCGGCGCTCGGTCCCGGGCCCGGGAGTCCCGGAGGGCGGCCTGGAGGAGGTGCTGGCCTCGATCACGTCGCTGAGCTTCGAGCTGGAGCAGCTGCGACGCCCTCGGGGCACGGCTGAGAACCCGGGCCTCGTGTGCAGCGAGTTGCACCGCAACCACCCGCATTTGCCCGACGGTGAGGTTCCGTCCCTCCCCCGGTGGGCGGGGAGCCTTGGGGTCCGCCCGGCTCATCTGTCCTACCTGGCTCTGCGGCAGGGGAATACTGGATTGACCCCAATCAGGGCTGCGCGCGGGATGCGCTCAGGGTTTTCTGCAACTTCACGGCGGGAGGAGAGACCTGCCTTTACCCAGACAAGAAGTTTGAGACCGTGAGTACCTCTGGGGGTGAAGTGGGAGGTGGTGGTGGAATGAGGGACCAGACTCTGGAAACCATTTCATTCATACCCTGTCCACACACACACACCAGGCGTTGACTGGGACTTTATTTTTCCTTCAACTAACATCTATTGAGCACCTACTGTATGCCAACTCCTTGAAATGCTGGGGTTACAGCAGAGAATCCAAAAAAAAAAAAAAAAAACTGCTTTGCTTTTATGGAGCTCATTTTCTATGGGGAAAGACAGATAAGAAAATCTAGTAAAGAAATCAATAATGATGGAGAACCTTGAAATAGCAGGTATGTGTGCCAGCCCTAAGCGCCTGGCTGCATTAACAACCACCGATGTGGCCATTCTGTTATCATCCCTAAAATAGGTGACCAACAAGAACCTACTGTGTAGCACAGGGAACTATACTATGTAGCACAGGGAAAGAATCTGAAAAAAATAGATATGTATGTGCGTATAACTGAATCACTTTTCTGTAACCTGAAACTAACACAACATTGTAAATCATCTCTTCTTCAATTAAAAAAATAAAATTCTGTTATCATCCCCCAGACAGGGAAACTGAGGCACAGAGCGGGACAAGATTACCCACGACAGTCTGCCTCTTGTCCCAGCCCTTAACCACGCTCTATTGTGCCTCCTAACCTGCTGTCTTATAGGCCCCATGGGCTCACTGCCCTCCACCTGGTTCCCCAGAAATCCTGGGGTTCTCCATCAGGGAGCTCTGAGCCTAACAGCCTCTGACACCAAGCACCAGGCTTAGCTATAGAGGGCAGTGGGTGAGCAGTGAGCTTCTGGACCCTGGACTGCTCAGACTGGAATCCAGATGTCACCTCAGTTTTTTCATCTGTAAAGTGGGGTTCAAGAAAGTATCTACCTCATAGGGTGGTTGTGCCATTGGGGCACCAATGAACATATCAGGGGACACTGATTGAACACTGACTACGTGCGTCGCTGTGTTAATTCCTCTATTGCAGGTAAAACACGTTGTAAGCACAGGGCCTGCGAAAGTGCCCAATAATGTCCTTCTTATTTATTCTTATTTTTTACTGGTCAGAGCCCTGGTTTAGTGGGAACTCAGATACCCCAGTGGATGCAAATTTAGACGAGCTCACCCCCACCCAGTTTATGGAGGCTTGAGGGCAGGGCTTGATCTCTAAACAGTTGCTGACACCTGAGGCCTGGTCTTTCACCACCTCATCTTCCTTCTGCCCATAGAGAGGCTGGGGCGGGGAATGAGGAACATTCTTGGTTTGGGTTCCCCAGACACAGACCCTGAGATGAGGGTTTGACAAGGGCAAGTCATTTATTTAGGAGGTGATCCCAGGAGGGGGAAGTGAGAGGGGCCAGGGGAGGCAGCCAATAAGGGGTGCGCTGTTAAAACATCACCGCTGGACACCCAAGGCTCAGTTCCACTGGGGACTTCCAGGAGACAGTGTAGGGTAGGCTCCTGGGAGCTGTCCCCCACCTCGGGGAGAGGGAGCCGGGGCATTTATCCACCAGCTCTCGTCAATCATCGGTGGAGGCTGCCTCAGAAGGTGGGAACACGCAGCCTCTTGGGTCTGTCCTGTGCACCAGCCAAGTCCAGTCCAACAGTCAGAGAACAGACTGAGAGTCCCTGATATTTACAGTCAGTAGCTTTTGTTGTGGGGAGATAAATGCAGAAAGGACATGGTGGCCCCCTGGGGCACCTGCTACACCGTCCCCTCCATCCCCCAGGTGAAACTGGCCTCCTGGTCCAGAGAAAAGCTGGGAAGCTGGTATAGCACATTCCGTCGAGGGGAGAAGGTGAGTTGCCCTGGAGGCCAAGGTGGGGATGGTATAAAAATCGGTGGGAACCAGCATGGGAATCGGAGGAGGTGAGATGAACAGGATAGACTCACTTCGCCTTCTTGATGATCACAGCATCAGACGTAGGATAGGGCAAAGCACAGGTCACGGTGGCGATCCAGAGGCAGTGCTGGAAGGACCTGAAGGCTTCCTGGTAGAAGTCACAGCTCAGCTGAGGTCTAAGGAATAAGTTGGGTTGCAAGTTTGGGAGGACAAGGAATAGTGTCCCAGGCAGATGGAACAGGATATACGAAGGCCCAGAGTCAAGAGAGGGCCTGGTAAATTTAAAGAAAAGGTGACTTGCTGTGCTCTAGAGAATGTGAGGGGGAATGTGGTAGGAGAGTCTGGGGAGGTGGGTGTGAGCTAGGCCCACTTCCTCAGAAAGATCTATGAGCAGTAGGGAGCCATGGAATGTTTTTAAGTGAGGGAGGCACCGAGATTAAATCTCTGTGATAGAAAAGTGCCTCTGAGCTGGTGGTGGTGGTGATGGGGAAATTGGAGGCTGGGAGCCCCAGAAGACTGATGTGTTGGTCCAAGAGAGCAAGGAAGGGACCAGGCTGGAGCTGGTGCTATGGGGATGGAGAGGAGGGCATGGCTTAGAACAACCTCTAAGAGGGGAAGTCAGTGCGACCTAGTAATTGATGAGATAACAAATCAATAGGACCTAGTAACTGATGAGATGGCACGTGAATAGGACCTATCAATAGTAATTGATGAGGTGAGTAATTGATGAGATGCAGGGGAGGGAAGAGATAGGAATGACACCCAGGTTCCTGGTTTGAGGGACTGATGTCTAGTGAAGTTCTGAGATATGTAAATGGCAAGAAGGTCAGGTTTACGAGATAGAGTGGAATCTTGGGTTCATTTGGGATTTGTTTATGTAGCATATATGTGTATGCTAAACATTGGGAACATAGCAGCAAAGAAAAGTTCCTAACTTCATGAAGGTGATATTCTGCTGGGAATATGACCAAGGAAGCAGACACAAAATAACCAAGGAAACAAAGCTATAATATAATGTCAGGGGGTATCTTGGTTTGGGTTCCCCTGAAACAGACCCTGAGGCAAAGACTCAATTGCAAGGGGTTTATCTGGGACGTGATTCCAGAAAACATCAGTTGTGGAACATGAAAGGGTACAGGGAAGAGAAGGAAGCCAGGACGCGTTACCAAGCCAGTTATCTCAAGTTAATAATATATTTTATGTAACCCAATATATCCCAAATATTGTCATATCAGTATAAAAATTATTGAGGCATTTTAAACTTTTCCCCTCTGAGGTCTTCAGAGTCTGTGCATATTTTATATTTATAGCACATCGTAATTTGGACACTAACTTTCCATGGAAGTACTTAGATTGCATAAAACCTGCAGTTGAAAAAGTAGATTCACATCCTCAAGCTGTTCCAAACCTCAGTTTTCTGCTAAATGGATTGAAGCTCAGTTATTAGTTATAAATTAACGTTACAAGTTTTAAATTAAATAATTAAACAAAAAATTTAAATTTAAATGGATGGACCTAGAGATTAGCATACTAAGTGTAGTAGGTCAGACAGAGAAAGACAAATATATGATATCACTTACATGTGGAATCTAAAAAAAATGATACAAATGAACTTATTTACAAAACAGAAATAGACTCGCAGACATAGAAAACAAACTTACAGTTACCGAAGGGGAAAGGGGAGGGAAGGATAAATTAGGAGTTTGAGATTAACAGATACATACTGCTATACATAAAATAGATGACCAATGAGGACCTACTGTATAGCACAGGGAACTATATATTCAATATCTTGTAATAACCTATAATGGAAAAGAATCTGAAAAATAATATATATATATGAGTATATGTGTGTATATATATATATATATATACACACGCACACACACACAAATAACTAAAACTTTTCACTGTAAATCTGAAAATAACACGACATCATAAATCAACTATACCTCAATTTTTTTTTTTTTTTAAAGAAAGTCATTGTGTTTAATGCTATGGAGCAATAATATGTCTAAGAATCAGACACCTGGAATGTTTGGTCTCATTCTAAGAATATACAGATCATTAGAAATTAGCCCACAACTTTATCTTAATAGGATTTTGTCTTGTTGAAACATCTGAATTTCAAAGGTTAAAAGAACAATTAAGCTTTTTTTCTACGTCAGGAAACAATAAAATGATACAACCATCATGGTATATGCACAAAAGAAATTTCCCTCTTTTTTATGGGAGAGTCTGCCTTATAGTTTTTAGCCTCATCAGGTTGACACATTACAAAGTCACTACTGTTGACAAAAACATTTTAGGATCTACGATCTAAGTAGGGAGTCTAACTAACTAGTGATGATATCTCCTAGAGATCTTTTTGGGAACTTGGGTAGACCAGTCTCCTCATTTTAACTGTCATGAAATAACTGGAGATGCTGAAAGAACTCAGGTGCCCAAGAATGTGAACCTTGTTCACAACTGGAGTAGAAATATGTAAACCTTTCACCAACATTTCCAGGGAAGTTGGATATAGGAAAAGAAAATGACATTTATGGCAGACTGCTGGTTATTCTCTAATATTCAGTTTCCATTTTTTCTGTAGTAGTCTGGCTCCTAATTTTCATCTGGGCTTTCCGGACGCGCAGGCTCAGCGGCCATGGCTCACGGGCCCAGCCGCTCCGCGGCATGTGGGATCCTCTCAGACCGGGGCACGAACCCGGGTCCCCCGCATCGGCAGGCGGACTCTCAACCACTGCGCCACCAGGGAAGCCCCAATACTTCAATTTTTAAAAAATGAGTGCCAACAGAAAAAAATTAAAATTTAAATAAAGTTTTGAAAACTTTCTCGGTCTCACCGGCTGCATTTCAAGGGCTCAGTAGCCACACGTGCCTAGGGGCTTGCAAGAGAAGCATGCACGGCCGGATGGCTGGTGGGGCTGATAAAGATGAGGACATGGCAGGGCGGGCAGGTCTGCAGTGGGTGGAGATCCTGGGAGGTGGGTACCTCAGAAAGAGTAGAGGCGAATGGAGCACCCTCACCTCTTCTTTGTCCCACCTCCAGTTCTCCTACGTGGATGCTGATGGGGCCCCGGTGAGTGTGGTACAGTTGACCTTCCTGAAGTTGCTGAGTGCCACAGCCCGCCAGAGCTTCACATATTCCTGCCAGAACTCGGCCGCCTGGCTGGACGAAGCTGCAGGAGACCATGGCCGCTCTGTCAGTTTCCTTGGGACCAACGGGGAGGAGCTGTCCTTCAACCAGACGGCAGCAACCACCATCACTGTCCCCTATGATGGCTGCAGGGTAAGGGAGGGGTGACGGGCTGGCCAGAGCAGGGCAGGAGGCTGTGGCTGCCCTGCCCCTGACTCAGCATCCGTGTCTTCCCACCGTCAGCTCCGGAAGGGACAGACGAAGACCCTCTTCCAGTTCAGCTCTTCCCCAGTGGGATTTCTGCCCTTATGGGACATGGCGTCCGCTGACTTTGGCCAGATGAACCAGAAGTTTGGGTTTGAACTGGGCCCCGTCTGCTTTAGCAGCTGAGAGCTTCAGGGGTGGGAGGGAAAATGAGGGAACCCCAGATGGGGCACATTTGGTGCTGAGGCTTTGAAGCCATCACATTTATCGTCTCCTGGGACTGTGGAGCCAGGGGAGAGTCTGCTCATCACGGTCAAACACTATTCCTTCTCCATTCCGGGGGTCTGGAGGCTGGACTCCCCTGGCCCATGAGTCCCGTTTCCCTGCACTTCACCCCGGCTGGCATAACTGTAGTCTGGCTCTGTCTGCCTTTCATGCTCACCCGATGCTCAACTCCCTCCCCCGACCCCCATGCAATGAACTTCTAACTCAGAGCTGATGAATGCCCCCCATGCCTGCCTCCCACCCCTCAGTCAGTGCTCTCAACACCCTTTGGTGCTACCTTCCGCATAGTTAAGCACTGGATGTCTCCTGATCCCAGGCTGGGACCCCTTCACTCATTCCTATTTTCAGGTGGGTTCACAGTGAACGGACTGAGGTCAGACGACAGAGGGAAGTGGGACTTGCCTAGGCTGAGCTGTGTGTTCCTTCTGCTGCCTCAGCCCCACTAGCTCTGAATACTGCTTCCCCCCATATCTCCCCAAATGCACCTTGCCATGCCAGATGGTTTGGGGGCCAAGATGGTGGGGGTGTAAATCAGGATCCTAATGGTGCTGCCCTATTTATACCGGGGTCTGTATTAAAAGGGAAAACCCCCTCTGTTGTATATTTAATCTGCTTCTTCCTTAGGGAGGCCTGGGATATGATGAGAGAGATTCTAGCGTGATCCCGAAGTCCGCCCCCCGCCCCCCCCCCGCGCCCCAGGCCATAGGGCATAATTGGCATCTCAAGTCTGAGAATAAACCAGTGAACTGTGTCCCTGTCTGCCTTTCATCTGACGCTGGCCATATCTCTCTAAGGGTCAGGCTCTTGTCTCACCCAAGGAATCTGCCACCACTTGTCTTAATAATTGAGTCTTTTGGTAGACGTAGCTTTGGGGGTCGGGGAACCTAATTATAATGGGATTCACTGGAAGTGATGGGCCTGTTTATTAACTTAGGCTGCTAGAGGAAAAGTTGAAAAAATAGCCAGATCTCTAAGAGAGCAGATCTTAAGTGTTCTCAGGACAAAAAGAAATGGTAAATATGTGACGTGAGGGAGGTGTTAGCTAATGCTATGGTGGTAATCTTTTTGCCATATATAAGTGTATCAAATCAACATGTTATGTACCCTTTAAACATCCACTGTGTTATATGTCTATTAGATCTCAATAAAGCTGGGAAAAATTGTGAACCTATCAGGAAGACATTTAACTTTAAAAAAGAAAATAGCCAGATCTCTATGTTGACCTTGATTGGTCTTGGAATCACTGCCTGAGCTGAGGGGATGTATCAGGAGGTGACATGGAATGTGGTTTTGGTTTGAGATAAAATGACTCGGGGTCAAAGGTTTGGGTGGCAGGTCAAGGGAGTGAGTTGGGGGTGAAGAGAATTGAATTATGAGTTGACCCTTGTGGTGAGTTGGAGGTTAGGGGTTAAGGGTAGGGTAGATTACATTGAAGTGGGTTGAAGATAAGTTGAGTTGGAGGGTGGTTTGAAGTGTGGTGAATCAGTTTGGGGATCCGTTGAATTGGGGGTTGGAATGATGAGTGGATTGCATTAAGGGTTTGGCATTGGATATTGGGTTGAATTGAATTAGGGTTGATTTAAGAAGTAGAATGAACTGAGTAGAGGTAAGTAGGGGTTACTATGAATATGGGGTAGGGATTGCCAGTGTGGTAAGTTAAGATGTGATCAGTTGAGAGTTGGGTTTGGGGTGACTTGAATTTGGGGTGAGGTGTTGGGTTGAAGGTTTTAAAAAACAGATTTATTGAGATATAATTCACATACCATATAATTCACCCACTTAAAGTGTATAATTAAATGGTTTCTAGGGTATTCACAGACTTGTGCAACCATAACCACAATCAATTTGGAACATTTTCATCACCTCAGAAAGAAATCCCATATCCATGAGCAGTCACCCATCATTTCCTCCAAACCTCTCGGTGGTAGGAAACCACTAATCTTTCTGTCTCTGTGGATTTGCCTGTTCTCCACATTTCATATAAATGGAATCATACGATATGTGGTCCTTTATGTCTGGCTTCTTTCATTTAGCATAATAATGTCACAGCTCATGTTGCAGAATGCATCAGAACTTCATTCCTTGTTATTGTTGAATAATAATTTACTGCATTTTGCTTATCCATTCAGCACTTGATAGACATTGTTGAGTTAGGAGTGATGGAGGGCTGGTGTGAGTTAAGTTGGATCAGGTGGGATTGTGTGGGTAGAGGTAGCAGGTTGGAGTGAATTGCCTCCCTCAAACCCAGGGCTTGGGACTTCCCTGGTGGCGCAGTGGTTAAGAATCCACCTGACAATGCAGGAGACATGGGTTTGAGCCCTGGTCCCGGAAGATCCCACATGCCGTGGAGCAACTGAGCCCGTGTGCCACAACTACTGAGCCTGCACTCTGGAGTCCGCGAGCCACAACTACTGAAGCCCGCAAGCCACAACTACTGAAGCCCACACGCCTAGAGCCCGTGCTCTGCAACAAGAGAAGCCACCGCAATGAAAAGCCCGTGCACCACAATGAAGAGCAGCCCCCGCTCGCCGCAACTAGAGAAAGCCCATGCGCAGCAACAAAGACCCAATGTAGCCAAAAATAAATAAATAAATTTATTTTAAAAAATCCCCAAACCAGAGCTTACTCTGCTATTCCTGCCAGCAGCCTTCTAAGGCCACCTGAATACTTGCTCTGGATTCCTTTATTCATTCCATAAATGTTACTAAGAGTGCTAACTCTATGAAGAATATTGCTGCCCAGAGGTTAATCAATGAGTTCATCCCTTTATTTGTTTATTCATTTGTTTAGCTCTATTGAGTGTGTACTCAGCACTAGGCATTGCTCCAGATGCTGGGGATAGAAGAAAGATGCCGTATCTGCCCCTCAGGATCTTACTCCTGAGAAAAACAGATTATACACAAATCTCTATGTAATGTGACTTCAGGTAGTATTAATTGTTGTGAAGGAAAATCAAACAAGTTACATGGAGAATGATGGAGTCGGGGGCTTATTTGAAATAGGTTGGTCAGAAGAGGAGGAGCTGGTGTTTTAGCAGAGACCTGAAGGATGTGAGGGAAGAACCAAGTGGAGTCTTTTTTTTTTTTTTTTTTGCGGTACGCGGGCCTCTCACTGTTGTGGCCTCTCCCGTTGCGGAGCACAGTCTCCGGACGCGCAGGCTCAGCGGCCATGGCTCACGGGCCTAGCCCCTTTGCAGCATGTGGGATCTTCCCGGACCGGGGCACGAACCCGCATACCCTGCATCGGCAGGCGGACTCTCAACCACTGCACCACCAGGGAAGCCCTAAGTGGAGTCTTTTTTTTGGCAGAGGGGCTTGAGGGATCTCCGTTCCCTGACCAGGGACTGAACCCAGGCCACAGCACACAGCAGTGAAAGCTCAGAATCCTAACCATTAGGCCACCAGGGAACTCCCCATATAGAGTCTTGAAGTATCCGACACACAATGAAGAACCCAGAAACCCTCAAATACCAGTGAGGGCTCTTGAGGGGGTGGTGTTATTCCTGGTCATCTCTTCTCAAGATGTGTTGCTTTTGCTGATTTCTTCACCCTGGGTTGACATCTATCAACCCAAATGTAGACCTGAGCCTTCCTTCCTTTTAGTTCCTCTCTCAAACATCTTTAACTCAAGAAAGCATGTGGTGGAAAAAAAAAAAAAAAAAAAAAAAAAAGAATGCATATGGTAACACCAGTGCTGTGCGCTATTTTTCTCCTCCTGGGCACACGTGATTGAGATCACATCTCCCAGCTTCCCTTGCAGTTATGTTGGGGACACGTGACTGGGTCTTGGCCAGTGGGATATGAGTAGCCATAAAACCTCCCGCATAGCCCTCCTTGCTCTTTCTCTCTATTCCATGAAGACCTTGGAGATCACGTGTGTAAGATGAGCATGTCATACATGGAACTAGTAAGGGGCCTGCTTCCATGAGTTACTGCAGTTGACCCTTGAACAATGCTGGGGTTAGGGGAGCCAAGCCCCACACAGTCAAAAATCTGCACATAACTTTACAGTCAGCCCTCTGTATCCGTGGTTACAAATCTGTGGGTTCAACCAACCCCGGATCATGTAGTAATGTACATATTTATTGAAAAAATCCACAAAGAAATGGACTTGCACAGTTCAAGCCCATGTTGTTCAAGGGTCAACTGGACTTGGAAGAACACTGCCAAGACCTTCGTTAAACATGACTAAGAAATAACTTGATTGTTTTAAGCCCTTGAGAGTTTAAAGAATTGCTTGTTACAGCAGCTGTCATTAATTATCCTGACTAATACAGTGAACAAATCCAACTTTTACTGAAGGCCAGCATGTAAGCATGTGTGCGAACCAGGATGTCTAATTGCAGGAAAATCAACATGTTAAAATTTACTATTGAATATCCTTATCCTCAAAAGTGCCCACCACTGTGAAATTGTCACTGGAGGTGTGCTCTTCCCAAGTCCAGGTTTCCTACCATTCTGCTGTCCTCTCCCATCCTTCCCTCCCTGACACCTCTTCTTGCCTACCCTCTTCACTCCCTTACTCTAAGCCTTTCTGCTCTTTTTTTTTTTTTTTTAATTTTTGGCCAAGCTGCATGGCTTGTGGGATCTTAGTTCCCCGACCAGGGATCGAACCCAGACGCCCTGCAGTGGAAGCTCAGAGTCCTAACCACTGGACCGCCAGGGAAGTCCCAAAGGCTTTCTGCTCCTAGATCAAATTTATCTCACTTTCTTATGAAGAACCATCCCCTCAACCCTTCTTACAGACCCTGGCTTCACACCCACATGATCCATGATTAGTTTAACTGATTGTCTGCATGCCAGACACCGTTCATCGAATGTTTTCCCAAATGAATTTATTTATTCCTCATCACAACCTTTGAGGAAGATTCTGTCACTACCCTCATTTTGCAGATAAGGAAGCTGAGAAACAGAGAGGTAGAGAGAGAGTGACTTGCCCAGAGTCTAGAGCTGAAGATTTTGCTAAACAAAAAAGCCATCTTCTCCCTAAAGGGAATTATTTCCATCGTAATTTAAAAAATTACATCCAATAACAGCCCAGGGTTTGAATGCAGGTCAGCTGGCATGCCCTTTTGCAACTCCAATCCCACGCTGGTACAGGTGTTTTGGAGGGGAGGAACAATTAATAGTGTAATGAGGAGGCTTCCCAGGTGGCGCAGTGGTTGAGAGTCTGCCTGCCGATGCAGGGGACACGGGTTCGTGCCCGGGTCTGGGAGGATCCCACATGCCGCGGAGTGGCTGGGCCCATGAGCCATGGCCGCTGGGCCTGCGCGTCCGGAGCCTGTGCTCAGCAACGGGAGAGGCCACGACAGTGAGAGGCCCGCGTACCGCCAA